ATAATGTTTTTCTCATAACTCTCCCCTAAAGAAAATAAATTCTAAATACTTAAAATGGATTATTGTACGTTATTTTGTGCTTAGAGTGCTTTCTTGCACATTTTTATGACACGAAGGTACAGTGTCAATTGTACAGTAATTTCCTAGTGATTTTCAGAGGGACTGTATGAAAAAAAAAAAGTTGTTGAACATGATTTTGGATTGTTGAATTGAGTCTACATGCAGATTAGCTTTTGTGTTGGATTGTAATTGCCTTAAGCCAATTGTACAGTGAGTAATAGCTCAACAGGGAGTACTAGCTCAACATATTTACGTAACCCTCTTGGAAAAAAAAAAAAAAAAAACAAACCACAAAACACCTTTATCTTTCTCAGGGATTGCCTGGTAAGATTTGCCTGACTTGCTTTTCTCTCAGGACTTTGTCTGCCAGTCATTCACTGAAAGCTGTGCCCCTGTAGTGCAATTCTGCCTGCTCAGACAGCTCCTGAGTGGTGAGCCACCCGCCGCCCTGCAGCACCCAGGTGCTGCTAACACCCCATGGGGCTGGTCTCCCCTGGGTGGGTTTGTTTCTGCTCTCTGCTGCAAGCTGGGATCACTCCCCAGGTGTGGGAATCCAGGGCTTCCCTCTGGCTGCCCTGGCAGGTCTGGGACCCTGGCAGGGGTCAGGAACCCCCCTGTACAGAGCCCCCAGAGACACTGACTGTGATCTCTGTCCATGGAGAGGAGTTTTCAATCTTACAGGATGAATTACAAGCTCTGAGTGTTTGATAAGAGTAATAATTAAGTGTGGCACGGGTGCAAGAGTAAAATTTTAGGTTTCTAGATTAGGGGTTCAGAGGGGACACGATGGAGGAATTGGGTGTGTCTTGTCCTTTTCCTCCTTCTTCATGCCCTCCATGTTTCACTGCAGTGTTGGCATTTTTCTATTGGTTTAGGCTGGGGACACACTGTTCAATGTAGGTGACAGATATTGGCACGTTATTGTAAATATAGCACAGGTAGTTTCTGGTATTTAATGTTTGTACCATCCCAGAGGGCAGAGCCCCACACGCTGCCCTGCAGGACAGAGCTGCGGCAGGGCAGCAGAACATGTTAGAGATAAACAGAATGAGCAACCTTGAAAACAGCACAGACGAATTATGGCTTCTTCTTTGGCAATGGGGCAGAAAGACAGAGACTTTCTACAATCTCGGAATCACCAATACCCACAGATTCCGACACCCAGGCGCTGTTTTCAGCCCTGAACTCATTCCACTGATCAGTTTTCAGTCATGATGACTCTTGCTGCACGTTACAGGTTCTTTAATCCTCCTTCGTGGTGCATTCCTAATATTCCTGAGCAGATGAACATTTTTTTGGCCATGGAAGGTGCGTGCTGACTGAGAGCAGCTTTTGATCAATTCCATTAGGAAAAAAAAGTAGTGCTTGACTAGGAAGGGGATGCAGTTGCATTTTAGGGTTCATGGGCTGAAGGGACTTACAGAGCAAGGTGTGAAAATGAGAACAAACATCAGGCTTACTTGGATATTTGTACAATATTTTAAGGAAACCTATTCTAGACATGATGGGAATTAAAAAAAAAAGGTGGAAAATACATCTGATTCTCTCAGATGTAAACATAAACGTCTCAGTTTATATTCTGAAGAAAACAATACAAGATCTGACGTGGGAAGAAATTCTCGGGTGAGCAATTTTTCTCTTGTACTTTTTGAGTGTAGGAGTGAGAATTTCTGGCTAAAGAAAAAAAGAAGTAAATAGATGATTTAAGAAAAGATGAACTAGAAAATTTAGTGATCTCCCAGGACATTTTCCCAGAGAAACACACTGCTTTCTCTTTGCATGGATTATAACTATACAACTTCTTTGAAATTTCTGTTCACTTCTCTGATACTTTTAGTGCATATGATATGCATCTATTTTTTTTATCAATTCCTGAGCTGTATTTATACGCAACAATTTCACATCAAAAGACTGATGTTGTCATCCTATGCTTTTTTTCCTAGGATATATCTGACACTTACATGACAATGGCAGTCTTTTTTCCACCTCTTCCCTTTAAATGCCCCCAAAGTTATTAGGCTTCAAGTACATCCTCAGTGAATCCAGGCCTTGAAAATTTTTATTTTTTAGTGATAGCTTATTATTATTTTAGTTGCACTTTTTTTTTCATATTTTAGCTCTTAATATATTAGCCTTTTTTTCCCAAGAGCTGAAGATTACTATATATTCAAAATTAAAATGCTTCCCTAGCATTTCCCTTGTCATATTTCCTATTGGTTTGAGGCTTTTTCTCTTCTTGAGTGACAATGAGTATAGTTTAGCTACACAACTATCTATAATAACCTGTTCTGAACAGAGAACTGTTCTCTTTGGAAATTAACATCCGCAGGCAATAATTCTATTTCATAAAATCATAAGATAGAATATGTGACTTGAATTATAATGCTGGATTTCGGAGTTAAAAATATCCCTTCTTATTCATGTGGGTCCAAGGCATCAGAACACATACAATATGAACTCTGAGCTGCATCTCTGTAATATTGATCATCTGAACTAATGCAAACCAAAATATCAAGAGATATAATGATTAGGATGCCCTTATTCTATTTCTTAACTCAGTTCAAGCTCTGCTTCACTTATTTCTCAGAACTCGCAAGGAGTGAGATAACTGTAATGATACAGGCACTTGCTCAGGAAGTTTATCTTTCAGTAAGAGAAATGCATCAAGCTCAGCTGTAAGAAAGGCCAAAGAGAACAGAAATCAATACTTTGGTGCTGCTTATGAATTGTGCTGACCCTTCTGGGCCAGATTTCTTGCAAATTGTTCTGCTACTCTTGGAGAAACTGGCTAAAGTGTTTGTCGCTCTTCCTCTTTCTCCCTTGACTTCTCAGGCCAGGTGCAACATAAATTTAATTATCCATGTTCAGATATTTACAAATTCACATCAAAATTAAACCATGACATTCAAATGTAGTGACTTATGAAACAAACTGTTTGTGCCAGTAAAGAATTATCCCAAGTAAAGCAGTCTGTCAATCATAGCTTTCAAGTATTCATTGCACATGGAATAGATATGGATTTATGAGGAATATTCTTTCCCTCTTCTTGAAGACCCAGATTAAATTGTCACAGCATCCCTGCTGAAGCTGGTACAACACCCAATCTGAGGTTCACAAATCTCAGTAACTGCCAGATTACAGCTTTGTAAAAGCAGTCCTTTGGTTCTCTAGTGCTAGTGCACAAAGGCCTCATTAGATAAATGTTTCTGCCAACTAGTGTTTCTTGGAACTCCTGGTCGCAATGCTGTGCCAAGCAATTTGCTAAAAAATTCTACTCTTTGTTTAAATGACATTGTTCACTCAAAATTTGACATTAAAAAAAAAATCCTTAAGTGCTTACAGATACTTTTTACCCCAATCTTCTTTTGACATTTCAACAATTCTATTCCTTTGCCATGTTAGCTTCTACCTGTTTTGTCTATCATCTGTCCCTTGTTTCTGTTGATTCTCAAAAACATGTTGATGTCAGAAAACAGTCAGTTCCTTATTTTCCTTATCCTTCTTTTTTCATTATTCTCAAATTTTTGATGGACATAGCTAATATGGTTCCCAGATAACCATTTTTTGTGCCATAGTTATACCACTTATTCTGAAAGGTACTGAGAAATATAAATGTTACATGTTTCAAACTATGTGGTGATGATCCCTACCTCTGACTAGTGAGAATGTTAAATTTTATCTGTGTTTAGGGGTGTGTTTTCTGGTAACTGCCAAGGTTTTTCCTGACTGCGCAAACACTTGAAACTTTTGTGCGCTTTAACATTTGTCCAGCTGTAAAGAAGCAGAGATGGCTGCACTTTCCCCTGTGTGATACATTTTGTACATCAGTAAAAGTCATGCAGAAAACACGTCAGGTATGGTATGGGACAGCACAATTTCAGAGATCACTGGTCAGTGCACCAGGAACATACAGAGGTCAGCTTGGAGAGCTGAGTGGGAGGGTAAGCTCAGGACACTGAAAAGCAGCCTGAATCTTTAATAAACACAAACTGTCAAAGCATCAGGTTTATGTTCAGTTTGAATGATGGCTTTATTGGGGAACTGAGCCCTCAATGACATCTTGGGGCATTGCTGATTTGAGATGAGAAGCATCACTTCTAAATCACTGAGTGCTCATTTCCTCGAGTTCTGATCCATGCTGACTCTTTTAAGTTTATGAGATCACAACCCAATGTGACCTGGCTGCAGGCCAGTGAGCAGAATAGAGTTCCAGGTCTTTCTGACTGCAAATTGAATTACTCCTCTTGACATTAAAGTCAAACCAAAGTCTCACCAGAACAGCACTGCCAAGGCAGTTTTAGTCTGACATGTTGACATACGCCTGAAATTTGTGTTTCAAATACTAAATTTTTTTTTTTTTTTGCTTTCGCTATGCAAATCCAGTACATGAATGTGAACAAACAATTAGGAATGCAAGCAGTATCGCAAGAACCTTGGGATTAGGGAATTTTGAACTCCTGTTCTTTTACTGACTTCTATCTTCTTGAAAGTGTATCCTTGGCAATTTGCAGGATTCTTTTGAGACCTCTAAATACTAATAGCAATCTACTTAGAAAAATAAGTTCTGCTCAGACAGTCCATCCCCTTGAATACCACATTGGTCCACCTTTTAATATTCACTATCTACTGTTTATGTGCAGCTTATATAGAAGTCTTCTAACTTTCTGCCTGTAGACATTATTTAATTATTTATCACTTAATATTGTGCCTTAGCTCTCCATTTCTGTGACAAGGAAACAATTTTTACTTTTTTTTTTTTTTTTTTTTTCCTTTGAGGATTAATTACTAATGTATCTTTGTTCTGGAGATGTAAGACACTCAACTAATTTGAAATGAAACAATTGAAACAATGTCTGTCATGTACATGGTTGCCTAGCAAATACTATACTGTGGAGTTTTTTGGAGTGTATGTTGTTAGTGACTTTGAAATATATACTTACAGCCTGGGGATAAAGATGACAGTCAAGCCTGATCCCAAGAGTAATCAGAAGGCCACCTGGAACAAACAGCATAAATGTCATCCTCTAACCAGCTAACCTCTTTTCCCTTCATTGCTGGTCACAGTAGAACATCAAATATAAGAAGAATAAAATTCAAAATATGTTGAAAAATAAACAGCCCAAGAATCTGGGTTGTATATCTTTGTGCAGTTGACTACTTTCTTTGTCCAAATGTTGAAAACATATTTTTGGCTCTGAGAGTGAGAAGAATGCATGGAGCTTTTTGTCTTAATTTTAGTTCCCTCTATAACAACAGCAATAACAACAACAAGAAACAACAACAGCAGTAATATTGTGGTTAGATTGTGTCAGAAGCAATTGCTTCAGCACCAAGAACAATGTGTTTCTCCAATGTAGTCTGGACAGGAAGAAATATTTCACTCAAATATTATTTTTCAATCATTCAATAATAGTTTCCATTGCCACATGCTTTGGTTTTAATGAATTGTAGTCTGAAACAGGCTTTTGGTCTTCATGGTTTTACATAAAATCTAGATGTAATTTTCAGCAGATAATGACTCCGTCCAATTTTAGCTTGAGGCAGTCAATATAGTATTCATTCTAGGGTATCTTCCTCTCAATAATAGTTTCCCTGGTCTTGCTGCCATTAAGAACCCTTTCCTGAACTTCAGGATACTCTCTCTCTCTCTCTCTCCCCCTCACCTTTACTTCATGGCATCATACAGCAAATCCTCTTTCCAAACAAGCAGGGGAAGGACAGAACCCTTGTGAAACAATACTGCCTCAAGAAGTAAAGTGGACACGAGCACAGAACAACATTTCAGTAAGGCAAGCCCGGGAAGATGGAACTGCACAGGTGTCCCACAGTGCCGGCACATTGGACACTGAAACTCACCCAGCCAAGGCTCTAAGCTGTGCCAGGTTATTTCAGCAAGTGATAAAGGATGGAAGTACCACACTGAGAGTGAGTCATTTGAGCCATTCCAGTCAAGGAGTCACCTCAGAGAACACACGGAGAAGAGCCAGCCTGAAAACTTCATCCCTCCTGCTCGAGCCTGCAGTGCCCGCTCTAACACCGCTGTTCTGCGGAGGAAGTCATTTTTGTCAGCTTTCTTTTGAATGTTGATGGTGTTACAGGATTGAATGCTTCTTGTGAGGATTTAGCAGCTTCTTTTGGCAGCACCCAAGCACTTAACAAAGCATTTTAAAATTAAGTAAAACAAATCTTTGTTTTCAATCCTCTGTGAGGATAGTCTAGTTTCCAGAATTCAGGCATGACATAACTGAGATACATACAGTAACACAGTCATATAAATTCTGTTTAAAAACTCGCAATGAGCTTTAACAAGAAAAAAAAAATTAGCATTTTTACATGGCTCTAAGAAATTAAGTGGATAATTAAGTTAAAGAGAGCAAATTGAATTACAATGTTTTCTGTTGTGTGAGTTTTTATGTGGTGTATAGGAAGAACTGTAGATTTAATTGCACAAATAAATCCTTAATGAATTCCATCCTGTTTTTCTCTGGCTGTAAAATACAAGCTTTAATAGCTTTATTACTTAATATTTTGCTTTTGAATAAATATTTTAAAATTTGTAAAATATATTTTACTTCAATTATTTTAGTTTTTCAGATTAAGATGAGGGTTTTTTTCCAAGTCTGCTTATACTAATCAGCAGAAGAGGATAAAGAGTGAAGAATGAGGGTTGAAACCTTTAAAGCAAATGGTTTGGAATTAAGTGCAGTTTTTCAGAGTTCAGGTTGATAATCTGCAGAAACTAAAAAGAAAATCATCTATATTTAGTGACTTTCAAAAGAATTTAAGGGTATTACTTGCCCACGGGAAGAAGTCTGAGGAGACATAAATCCACAAGTTGGCCACAAGTTATTCTGGATAAAGCTGTGTCAGCCTCAAGGAAAAGCCAAATAAGACTGTAGCTCTGGGGTCTGTCTGGTGCAGACTGCTGAGGAGTGGCAGGAGGTGAAAAGTAGAATATGTGGGAGATACAGGATGTGTCTCAGCTCTGCTGTGACCCTGAAGGTCACCTCTGTCTGTGCTTTGTGTGACCACTGAGCCTATAAAGAGAAATCTTTCTCACACAACTCAGTCACAGATGCCAAAAGCAAAGCAGCAGCACCACACAAACAAGGATCTTCACCTATTTAATATTTCTGGTGCTCCTCTAACCCCTTCTGAGGAACTCACTGGCTTTGAGCTGAATTACTAATAAGCAGTTCTGGTAGACTTTTCAGCTTGTGTTGTGCCCTACAACTCAAGGATCTGAATCCCATTCTATCTGGGAAAAAAAAAAACAAACAAACAAACAAAAAAAACAACCAAACAAAAAATCCCCACTTTCTATCCATTTCAAAAGACCTTTCTTCATTGTACAGCTGGAATCAAACCCATTATTTGCACTTTAGTGATGCGTGTCACTTCAATCTGAGTTACCTTAGTTTGAAACAAAACAGTAACTGACAACCAAGTTTTTAATTAAATGGGTCAATTCCATTCTACAAAATGCTATCTCCAAACTCATCTATTTTAGGCAACTTTTCCAATTTGAGCTTCCTTCCAGGAACTGTGAATGAAGAACTAATTTCTGTTTAAAAGAACCAATTACTCTGTTTGGTACTGAATTATGCTAAAAGGCAGATGGCTATTTTCTCTTGAATTCAAGCAGCGTGTCTAGCCAGTGGCATATTTCTTGATAGCATATCTGCAACAAGATTAAACACATCTTCCCATTCTGTTCTAGGCCTCAGACAATTTCAATTCACCTTCCAGTGCAGTTAGATTAATGAAAAGTCAAATATCAAGCTAGAAATAAGTGTCTGTGTTTATTTACTTCTGCCATTGTAACTTCTGCCATGCACTGGGGTGGTTAAGAGCACCAGTCCTCTCACAAAGAGGCAGGTTTACAGGAGCTTCACAGGGAAGCAAAACCTTGAGGCTATTCCATTAGTCTGAACAATTTATTCTTCACAGAGGCAGTAGTTATTTAACCCCAGACTCTGTCCATGTCTCCGAAGACACCATCTGCCACCATCAAACACGTCCACCTTGTCTTCCCTGGTACCAGTGAAGCTCTGTGGGCTCCTGTTTGCAGCTCTCATCCCACCCCTGACATCTCATGGAAGTGCTTCAGAGTCAGAAGCACAAAATACAAGGATAAATACATGGAAAAAAGTAGCAAAATTTCTTCAAGGGGGAATTTTTTTTTCTGAGAGCTCATCTTCTGGAACTAAAAATAGTTCATCCTGGGATGGACATGAGGATTTTCTGTACAATAAAATTAATAATGCAGCCAAAGGGGGATGTTTTTATTTCAGGTAGGGAAGCAGAGGGAAGTGAGGTAAGTCTTGTCTATAACCTTCTGAAAATGCTCTTTGATTTTTTAAAATTTTACATAAATCTCAGCAGGAACAGGTTCAGAGAAAGACTACAGCTATGACCACAATAACTGAATTCTTGTCTCGTGGGATTAGAGCAAAATCATATGAGTTCGTTTTGCAAGTCAGAACAATTCAAAGGGGAGTTTTGAGGATCACCAGAAGTAAGAAGAAGTAGTTCAGCTGGAGGGAAGTGCTGTACAGAGAGCAATGAGCCCATAACTGGCAATGAACTCAGGCTAGGAACGTGTTCTGTCATCTGAGGGTAAAGAACCTTTTAATTTCTCTGTGCTAATAGTGAATAAACTTTATTTAGAGTGACTCACAGTTCTTTTATAAAAACAATACATAATGTGATTGTCTTGCAGTGGAAAAGGAGACAGGAAGTTACAGAGCAGAGCTTCTGTTTAGTCTTAAATTCCTTTGCTGCCTAATGACTTGTCTGTGTTATTTGTTCTCCAAAGTTAATACAAGTATTTCAAGCACTAGGCTGACCAGTTACTGGTATAGGAGATGTATCAGACTATGCACAATTCCCTGCCTTAGTCTTTTTTCCTTTTCTTCAGCAGTGGACTACAACTTTACACAGAATTGCCACACCGAGTCTGACTCTGGTTTCAAGAAGAGATGAATTTTTATGAAGGGAAAGGACAGGTGGATGTCACTGTTTTCCCCAAGAGGCACCTCTCCTGCAAAGCCTACAGAGTTCTTTGCTCCCACATGACGATGGCTGCTTGAAAAGAAAACCTTTCTGCTTCTCTGGGCAATGAATACTTCCACATCCTTCACCAGAAAATAAACCACTGTATTTGTGTGAAACAAATCCATGTAAGAAAAGGAAGTCCTGAGAGACTCAGAACCATCAAGATCAGGAGGAGTTTTCCTTGCAATTGTTCAGTTCTAGGCATTTAGAATTGTTAAATGTGGGTGCCAAGGGGAAAAAAAAAGAAAATAATAGCTTGTTGATCATTAAAGAATCCAATAGGTAGTGGAGTGAGTTAGGAAAAAAATCATATAAGCATACATAATCACTACTACTTCTTTCTATATGTCAATCTCTGAGAATTGTGCATCTCCACCTCCCAATGAACATAATATTTGAGCTGTCACTGCACTGAATAGAAATGTTGAGCAAGGTGTCAAAGCACAGTGTTGAAAAATCTATTTTGCAACTGAGAAGGAATGATTTCTGTAGATGTACAGTAAAAAATTATTCTTCAGTCAATTCACACACAATCTCACTTCCAAAACACTATAGTAGAAGCCATGTATTGTTACAGGTAAAGGAATTCCTGTTCTGTACCACAATTTTCCTTCACTGAACGTTAATTGAGAAAAATATGCATAATTATGATTATATGTGCACAGAAACACAGAAAAGAAGCACTACAGTATTTTAGAACAGAGGTCATTTGCTGACTCCAATAAACTGAGGCACATGATCAAAACTGGTTGCATTCCACAGAAAATACTCTAAACAAATGCAAACTATGTCTATAAAAATACATTTTGCCAGCAGGTCAAAACATATCATACTGCTGACTTTCAAAGCTCCATTACTGTAAAATAGATATTGAAACATGCTAAAAGCATTGTCCTGACTGGTTCCCTGTGCAGAGCTTAGCTTAAAGTTTATTGCTCAGGTAGAAGAGAAAGATCAAGCACAAAGTGTAGGATGTGAATATTACTTTTCTCCCTCTCCTGAGCCAG